TTCGGGTCAGAAGGAGGTTGTGGGTGGGGCGGAGAGGGGAGAATCCACATCTGACTCAATCGACCTCGCTATCGATCTCACTCAACGGGACACCGCGGGACACCTCGGGACACTTGTCGATCTCAGCATCGATCTCACTATCGATCTCACTCAACGGGACACCACGGGACACCACGGGACACCTCTCGATCTCACTATCGGTCTCACTATCGATCTCACTATCAATCTCACTCAGCGGGACACCATAGGACACCACCGGACACCTCGGGACACCACATCGATCTAACTATCGATCTCACGATCGATCTCACGATCGATCTCACTCAACGGGACACCACGGGACACCACGGGACACCTGTCGATCTCACTATCGATCTCACTATCGATCTCACTCAACGGGACACCAAGGGACACCTCGGGGCACCACATCCATCTCAGTATCGATCTCACTATGGATCTCACGATCGATCTTACTCAACGGGACACCACGGGACACCACGGGACACCTGTCGATCTCACTATCGGTCTCACTCAACGGGACACCACAGGAAACCTCGGGGCACCACATCGATCTCAGTGTCGATCTCAAGATCGATCTCACTATCGATCTCACTCAACGGGACACCACGGGACACCACGGGACACCGGCGGGACACCGCGCGGCACTGGCCGCCGGAGGAGAAACATTTGGTCCGGCCGCGGCCCGGCCACAGGAGGATTTCGGGACACCGGCGGGACACCGGCGGGACACCGCGCGGCACCGGCCGCCGGAGCAGTTACATTTGGTCCGGCCGCGGCCCAGCCACAGGAGGATTTCTTCTCGCCCGCCCACGCAGCTTCGCCTCGCCCGCACGCGCGCACGGCACGCACGACACGAACCCGAAACCGAAACCGATTTCCCAGTAGGGGGGTCTCCGTGTCACGTCGGACTCACCCCCCAGCCTCCGATATAGGATTTGTGTTTTTTTTGAATATTCCCTACCTAGGCTCTGCCTAGAAGGGTTCTTACTCTCTAGCTTAAAGGGGCCGGGCAGTGGAAAGCGCCGCGGGCGGTTCCCCCAGTCCCCGCCCCGCGGTTCCCCCAGTCCCCTGGGAGCTTTAGCTTTAGCTTTAGCTTTAGCTTAGCTTTAGCTTAGCTTTAGCTTAGCTTTAGCTTAGCTTTAGCTTAGCTTTAGCTTAGCTTTAGCTTAGCTTTAGCTTAGCTTTAGCGTAGCTTTAGCTTTAGCTTTAGCTTAGCTTTAGCTTAGCTTTAGCGTAGCTTTAGCTTAGCTTTAGCTTAACTTTAGCTTAGCTTTAGCTTAGCTTCAGCTTAGCGTTTGCTTAGCGTTAGCTTAGCTTCAGCTTAGCTTTAGCTTAGCTTCAGCTTAGTTTTAGCTTTAGCTTTAGCTTTAGCTTAGCTTTAGCTTAGCTGTAGCTCAGCTGCAGCTCTGCTTTAGCTTAGCTTTAGCTTAGCTTTAACTTAGCTTTATCTTAGCTTTAACTTAGCTTTAGCTTAGCTTTAGCTTAGCTTTAGCTTAGCTTTAGCTTAGCTTTAGCTTAGCTTTAGCTTAGCTTTAGCTTAGCTTTAGCTTAGCTTTAGCTTAGATTTAGTTAGCTTTAGCTTAGCTTTAGCTTAGCTTTAGCTTAGTTGTAGCTTAGCTGTAGCTTAGCTTTAGCTTAGCTTTACTGTTACTACTAATGCTGCTTTCCTAGGGGCTCCAACTCCTAGGTAGGGTCGCACTGGGATAATTTTGTTTTGACGGTTTTTGATCTGCCGTTCAAAATCGGCCTGTGGGAGGACATTCGGGAGGGAAAAAAATCACACAGACACGATTAATCCTCGATTCCCCAGAAAGTATAGGAAAATATTGGAAGTGGGGGGGGGAGACGAAAACCCAGAAAACGTGGGAAAGTCTGGGGGATCGTTTTAATTTGTGTGTATTTATGTCTGTGTCCTGGGGCCCCTTTGGACAGGCCCGCCCTCATGCTGACATGGTAAGCTCCGGCCTCCGAGGAAGGCCCCTCGCCGGAGCGGCCTCGGCTGCGGGCCCGTGGGGCTCTGGTCGCCGAGGGCGGAGCGACAGCCGGGGGTCTGTGCCCCTGTCGGGAGGGAAAGGAGCACACAGACACAATGAATCGTCGACTCCCAGGAAAGTATGGGAAACAGGGGAAGTGGGGGGGAAGACAGAAACCCAGAAAACAGGGGAAGATGTGGGGATTGTTTTTATTTGTGTGTGTATTTATTTGTGTGTCCTGGTGCCCCTTTACCCTGGGTCTGGCCATCACCCCCCGCGCCCCGGGAAAGCCGCGCGCCAGATGCCGCTCCATCCCAGAGTCGCCCCTGCGCGCGGCAGGCACGAGTGCAGCGGAGGCCCGTGCCAGGAAACACCCTGCCTGCCTCCAGGGGTGCCCCTGGGCTTCCTGGGCTTCGATGTGCTCTTGCTGTGAAGAGCGCGGCGTCCCCACACCGAACCTCGACGCGCGTCCTGGGGTCTCGGGCTTGGGCTTTTGCGGAGGGCTTCTCGTGGACTGGCCTCCGCTGCACAGTGCTGCCGCGGTACCTGGCGGGCCCACTCGGGGGCCCAGGGATCGGTGTCGCACGCCTGCCTGGCCGCACCAGGACAGCGTGCCTGCCCGGGTCCCCCGCGGGGGCGCCACGGAAGTGTCGGGGGCGGACAGAACCCCCAACAGTGGCACGCCGATCAGTGAATTGTCCGTTTTCGGTTCTCGAGACGGCGCCGTGGCCGCTATGTTCCAGGCCTGCGCCTGCCAGGTCTGGGCCGCAGGTCGTTTTCACGAAACCACATTTTGCTAAAGGGGGGCCGGTCCATCCCCGAGAGTGAATCGCGCCTCGCGCGCCGCGGTCTGGGCCAGAGCCGTCTTCCAGCGGGGGGCGGCGCGAGGGCGCGCAATGCAGTCTTGGGTGGGGCCTGTCCCTCTGCAGGAGGAGCATTCCAAAGTAGTCAGGAATAGTCTGGGGACGACGTCTTTCTCCTGTTCGACTGGTTTTGCATGTGTTTAGGCTATGTCCTAACCATCTGGTGGTGTTGGGTCCTCGTTTTGAAGAGACAGCGTCCCGCGTTCCTCTCCTCTCCTTCCTCCTGCTCCTCCTCCTCCTCCTCCTCCTCCTCCTCCTCCTCCTCCTCCGCCCCCTCCCCCTCCTGTGCCCTCCGCATGTCCCTGTTTCGGCACACCCAGCACAGCGTTTCGTGACCCCATAGGGAGCTCCACCGAAGGCGCCAGTGGCGGGGTTCGCATGACGGCCTCGGGCCATTTCGGCACACCCCTCACGAGGATCGTGGCCCCATAGGGAGCTTCACCGAAGGCGCCAGTGGCAGGGTTCGCATTGCGGTCTCGAGCTATTTGGGCACACCCCTCACGAGGATCGTGGCCTCATAAGGAGCTCCACCGAAGGCGCCAGTGGCAGGGTTCGCATGCTGGCCTCGGGCCATTTCGGCACACGCCTCACGAAGATCGTGGCCCCATAAGGAGCTCCACCGAAGGCGCCAGTGGCAGGGTTCGCATTGCGGTCTCGAGCCATTTGGGCACACCCCTCACGAGGATCGTGGCCCCACAGGGAGCTCCACCGAAGGCGCCAGTGACAGGGTTCGCATGGCGGCCTCGGGCCATTTCGGCACACCCTTCACGAGGATCGTGGCCCCACAGGGAATTCTACCGAAAGCCCCAGTGGCAGGGTTCGCATGCTGGCCTCGGGCGATTTCGGCACACCCCTCATGACGATCGTTGTTCTATAGGGAGCTCCACCGAAGGCGCCAGTGACAGGGTTCGCATGGCGGCCTCGGGCCATTTCGGCACACCCCTCACGATGATCGTGGTCCCATAGGGAGCTCCACCGAAGGCGCCAGTGACACGGTTCGCATGGCGGCCTGGGGCCATTTGGGCATACCGCTCACGAGGATCGTGGGCCTATAGGAGCTAAACCGAAGGCGCCAGTGACGGGGTTCGCATGGCGGCCTCGGGCCATTTCGGCACACCCCTCACGAGGATCGTGGCCCCATAGTCGTACTCCGCCTTGTCGACGTGCAGCGCCACCTCTTCACTCATGGCTCTCAGAGCCCTCTCCTGCTTTCGCTCCTCGGTCAGAGGGACGCTGTCCTCGTCGTCGTCGCCGCCCGCGAAGACGGCCACGACCGTGTCCTTGAACATGTCGGGCTCCGGCGGGAAGCCGTGGCCACATAGGGAGCGCGGGCGAAGATGGTATTCACAATTGCGGTTTTCACAACTGCATATGGTTTGGGTCCTTCGCCAGGCTAATTTTCATTTTTCTTGCAAAATCCGCCCATAGGAGGACATGCCCAGCCTAAAGGTAGTCGCGCGTCGAGCATCGTGGCGCGCGAAGCCCGAAGCAAGGTGGCATCGAAGGCATGGGCCCCCCTCCTCCCCAGACCTCCGATGTTCTTTTGGCTCAAGGGGCCAGGAACCATTCAGAAGAGACCTGCCGTCCTGGTTTCCTCCCCCTCCTCCTGCTCCTCCTCATCGTCCTGCTCCTGCTCCTCCTCGTCCTGCTACTCCTCCTGCTGCTGCTGCTCTTCCTCCTCTTCCTGTTCCCCAGCCTTCCCGCGGGGTGCGCTAAGTGAGGCGGGCTGGCGTGCGCCAGTCCTATAAGCCCAGGACGCCCCTGGCCACGGCAGGGTGTATCAGTACACTTTGGTGTGAAAGCGGGCATGTCCCTCTACAGGAGGAATATTCAAAAACCGTCAAAACATATTACGGGGGCGATCTTTTTGATCTGTTGAGTATGGTTTAAGCTTACTCTTCTGGAGTATTTTTGATTTCTCGTTCAAAATCAGCTTGTAGGGGGACATACGCGACCTAACTGTGACATCCTCCTGCTATCCTCCTGCCCCTGTGCCGCCCTGGGATTGCGGGTGGCCGCCGCGAGGGCGCCGTCGTCGTCGTCGTCGCCGCCGCCGCCGCCGCGGCCACCGCCACCGCCGTCGCCGTCGTCGTCGCCGTCGCCGTCGTCGTCGTCGTCGTCGGCATCGTCGTTGGCTTCGTCGTGGGCGTCGTCTGCTCCGTCGTCGGCCTCGCCGTGGGCGTTGTCTGGAGCCGTTCTTGCTCAAGCTCAAGGTCGTGTGGGTTCAGGTGTTGGTTCTATCGGGGCACATCCCAACGTTCTCAGGAGCAGGGCGTGGACCACTTTCCCGCTGCGCCTTTGCGACTGCCGCCGCGAACCTGACGAGGTTGCGATATGACGTTGTTCAGCAGTGTGCGTGGACCACGCAGCCGGTCCAAGGAGAAGTGGCGTGTGCATCCGATAGAGGAAAGCCAGCATGGGGCACAGGAAACACCGTCGACCTGCCTGGCAGAGTCTGGCGCATCTTCTGACGGCCGTTGCCGGCACGATGCGCTGAAGAGCACGGCCAGCGAGACGGGAGTTACACCCAGAGCCCCGGACCGACACCCCAGCACCTGCAGCAGCGACAGCACGGGGAGCCAGAGACCCGCGGCGCAAATGATGATGAGCCACATGAAGTCCATGCGGGAGGCTCTGCCGACGTTGAAGCCTGGCACGGTCGTGACCACAAAGAGTGCGCGTGTCAACATGCTGGTCGTTCGTAACCCCAAGGCGTGGTCACAAGGTGACGTGGACGGCGGGCCAGGCAAACCTGGGATAATAACTGCCATCGACGAAGTCACAGGGAACTGTGCGGTTTATTGGTACGAGTCTGAGCAGGTCAACGACTGCAGCATCGGCAGGAGGGGCGTGCTCTGCAAGCCGTGCGGCGCCATCCCGGTGTCGCTTGGCGGGGACGACGGACTGGCGAACGTGGGCATGGCGCAGACCGCCATGGAGGCCATGAGGACTCTATTCGGGGGCCGCGCTAAGAGAGGACACCAGACGGAGACACCAGTCGAGCCGTTTGCTTCACACATCTCGCCGTTTGGCCGGCAGATCTCCTACGCGGACAAGACGGAGACGGCCATCATATTCGATTGGGACGATACGCTGTTCCCAACCACATACGTCAAGCACGATCTGGGCCTCTCCATCACTCGTGGTCTCAAGGACCAGGCGCTCAGTCCCCGGAAGATGCTGCGTGTCCGGGCCGCTCTGGCGAGAGCCGCGTGCGCCGCCGAGCGGCTCCTCCAGCTGGCGGACGGACGCGGGAAGGTCGTCATAGTGACCTTGGCCAGGAGTCCGTGGGTCACCGATTCCTGCAAGAACTTCTACCCTGGGATGGGCGAGCTCATCCAGAAACTCGGTATCCAGATTGTGTACGCGCGGGATGGTGAGCAGGTAGAGCACAGCGAGGTGAACTCGATGGCCGAGGATCAATTCGAGACGTTCTGGGCCGAGACGAAGGGCAGGGCCATCTTCAAGTTTCTGAGCGAGTTCTATTCCCAGTACGAGGGGCAGTCCTGGAAGAACGTCATATCCGTGGGGGACTCACACTTTGAGCGGTACGGCACGATGGCCGCAACGATGCATTATGCTGCAGCCCAGGGCCTGGTCAACGAGGAGATCTGTCCGGGCAGTCCGCAGACGACGGTGAGGGCGTGCGGGGCGTCGAAGGGGTCGGCGCGGTCGACGCTGTCCGTGTCGAGCGTGAAGCGCCTTGAGAGCAGTGGCAGTGGGAGGCGAATGTCGTGGGAGGGAACCGTCGGCGGCTACGAGATCAAGGTCAGGACGAAGACCTTCAGGATGCTAGGCGATCCGACGGAGGAGGAGCTCATCGCGCAAGTGAGCTTGTTGCATCGCTGGCTGCCTCTGATGGTGGAGTTTGACGACGGCTTCGACGTCGATCTCAACAGCCTCGACGGCGAGGCGGCGATCGAAGAGGTCGAGAGCACGCTGTTCGCTCTCAAGTACTGAGGTGCGCTCTGCAAGCACTGAGGCGCTTGCCGTGACATGGTGCAGACGCGGTGGCACGACGGGGTAGGGCTCGCACGCCGAGCGATTTTGTTCGCCCGTGGTGTTCGCATCGAGGTGGTGAGCGTGAGCGAGGCGTATCAGTCTTTGCGGTCCAGTTATTCGTGTGCTAATTTTCAGTACTCGGTACTCGGGCAGCTTTCTGCCCCATTTCAATGCAAGTTTCCGTTTCAAGTTTCAGTTTCGGTTTCAGCTTCTCGTCCTCCTCCTCCTCGTCCTCTTCCTCGTCCTCCTCCTTCTCCTCCTCGTCCTCCTCCTCCTCCTCCTCCTCTTCCTCCTCCCATTTCAGTTTCGGTTTCATTTTGTGCACCTCGTGGGCACGATGGCGCGCTCGCAGCGAGGTGGCGTCACCCGAGCGAGGCTCCCGCGCCAGCGTCACCTGTCACCTGTGCGCCGCGCCGCGCCGCCGCCGCCGCGCGGGCCCTCCCCGGAGTAGCCGGGGGCCGTCGTGAGGCGGGCCTCCTCCTCCCCCTGCTCCTCCCTCCTCCTCTCCTCCTCCCTCCTCCTCCTCCTCCTCCCTCCTCCCCTCCTCCTCCTCTCCTCCCCCACCTCCTCCTCCTCTCCTCCACGTCCTCCTCCTCCTCCTCCTCCTCCTCCTCCTCCTCCTCCTCCTCCTCCTCCTCCTCCTCCTCCTCCTCTTCTTCCTCCACAATTACTCAATATGAATACCCTGTAACGCCCCTCACGGGGGTAGAAACCAAGCGTCATGTTGTCTCCTCCTCCACTCGTGTTCTTGCGCCAGACGTCCACCCCTGAGGCTTCGGAAACTTCCACAAGGCTCGCAGGTGGTCAGAAAAATGCCCCGAACATCGAAGACTAAGTTATTCGAGGTTTCGTCTTCGACTCCGTTCCCAGAGCCCCGACGTGGTGTCTGTTCATCGGGTCGGCGCCCTTGTTGTCGTGAAATTATCCTCGGAGGGCCTCTTTGTGACGCTCCCGAGAGAGGGGAGGAGGGAGGAAGAGGAGGAGGCGGAGGAGGAGGAGAAGAAAGAGGAGGAGAAGGAGGAGGAAGAGGGGGAGGAAGGATTTGAAGCAGGACGGATGAGGAGAAGGATGACGACGACGAGCAGGAGGAGGAGAGGGAATGACGCCCGTCCTGGAGCCTCTTGGTGTCGCCTTGGCTCTCCTAGAGCGTGCTGGGGGTCCTGTGGCCTGTTTGGGCTCTTCGGGGCCTCTTGGGGCCTCTTGGAACCTCCTGGGCCCTCTGGAGCTCCCTGAGTGTAATCCAAAATGGGTTCTCGGGGGGGCTCTTGAGATCTCGTGGGCTCTCCCGGGGCCGCCATGGGCCCTCCTGGAGCCTCCGTGGGCCCTCTAAGAACTCTCTCGCGGGGGCGGCATGATGAAAACAATTTCACGCATGGGGGCCTTTCCGTTGAGAAGGGGGGCGCGGTGCAGAATGGGTCCTCCTGGGGCCCTCCGGAGGTCTCCTAGGCAGCCATGGGCCCTCCTGGAGCCTCTGGGGGCCTCTAAGAAGCTTCTCGCGGGGGCTGAAAAATGACGACAGTTTCACGGATGGGAGCCTTTCTGTTGAGAAGGGGGGCGCGGTGAAAGGTAATAGAGTGACGACAGTGTCGCATTTGAGGCCCCAAATCGTCCTTGGGCACCTCGGGCGCGAATCCCGCGCCCGCATAGTACGGCGCGATTTCCCCTCCCCCCGCTGTCCCGCCGGACCCTCTGGAGGGTGATTTTTGTGGTTTTCGCTTGTAAGAAACACTTCCCCCGCCCTTCTCGACGGTGACGGAGGGCAGGCGGCGGGGGTGGGCGGGTTGGCGGGGTGGCGGGTTGGCTGGGGTTGCGGGGTGGCTGGTTGGGCTGGTTGAGCCGGTTGAGTTGTTTGGGTGGCTGGTTGGTTGGGTTGGCTGGTTGGGCTGGCTAGGGCAATTGGTTTCGACTACTCCCCCTCTTCCCCTGATGACGGTTTGAAAGTGCTTTGAAAATATTCGACCCCCCACCCGCGTATTTTTTTTACACAGGTTTCCCTTGAGTTGGGTTTTCGCATGCATTAAATGCTGCTCTCGCTGAGGCGCCGGCCTCATTTTCGGGCCCCGCTCGTTCCGAATCGTGCTCCTGCTGCAGCGCTGGCATCATTTCTGCCGGTGCCCCGGCTGCACGCCCGAGCCGGCGCCCGGGCCAGCGCTCCGGCCGGGTCCGGAGCCGGTTCCGGCCGCCGCCGGAAAATCGAGTTCCGAGGCGGCGCCGAAAAAAGGCCATTCTAATACACATTTTTCTTTTGAAAGTGCTGAATTTCTGCTTCCGGCGCCGGAAGGCCTCCCGGGCGCCCGAGCCGGCGCCCGGGCCGGACGCCCGAGCCGGCGCCAGGTCCGGCGCCCGGGCCGGGTCCGGAGCCAGTTCCGGCCGGCGCCGGAAAATCGAGTTCCGAGGCGGCGCCGAAAAAAGGCCATTTCAATATTCTTTTGAAAATGCTGAATTTCTGCTTCTGGCACCCGGGAAGCCTCCAGGGCCGATTCCGGCGTGCTCCCGCTCGTTCCGAATCGTGCTCCCGCTGCAGCGTTGGCCTCATTTCCGCGCGTCCGCTCGTTTCGACTCGTGCTCCCGCTGCAGCGCTGGCGTCATTTCCCGTGCCTTGCCACGGCATGCAAGTCAATGCTAGGTTGATGCTATGCTTCGCGGCGCTCTTCTACGCCATGCCACGCCGTGCTCTACAATGCATCGTGTACCCTTTCGGGATATTTGCCCTGCTCGACATCCGACTGTGCGAGTAGAGAGGGGATCTGCGCCATGGTAAGGGATGGGAGGGAGGGGTAGGATGTCAGATATGACGCGAGCGCACCTAGCTTGTCCCCCTCCCCCTCTTCCTCCTCCTCCTCCTCCTGCTCCTGCTGCTCCTCCTCCTCCTCCTCCTCCTCCTCCTTCTCCTCCCCCTCGTCCTCCTCAGTCCTCCACCTCCTTCCCCCCTCCAACTCGTGGTGGTGGCGGCGGAAAACAGGCCCATCACTCTCCACTCCCGGGGAGCGTCCCCCTTGAACTTTTGTCCTGCGCCCCCCTTGGATTTTTGTCCACCAGCCAAGGGAGCCCTCGGCGGTTGCTTTGGCGGGGGCCACGGCACCGCGCGGGGCCGTCGAGCGGGGCATCGGGAAGCTCCCGCGAGACCTCTGGGCTGAGTTCACAAATCTCGAACACGGGGTGCTCCTCCCCTCCCCTGGCCATTCTAACCCGAACAATTCTTATACATTCGCGTCTCCCTCCATCCATCCGTCTACCCTCCGTCCATCCATCTTCTTCGTCGACGTTTCACCTGTGCAGCAACACGGCTTCCCTGGAGGCCATCGCGTTTGGCGCGCCTGCCGCCCTTGTAGGGTCGCCCCGCGGCGATGGCAGACTTCGGTTTCCGCTTCCGCTTCCGCTTCCCCTCCCCTGGCCCCTAGGACGGCTCAAGGGCATCGCATGTCGACCCAAGGGGCACAAGAGACAGCCCATGCATGCGCATTCTTCGAATAGGGCCGAGGGTCAGTGAGCGCCTTCCTCTGCAGGGTCACCAAGAAGGGAACGTCAAGCTGGTCGAACGCCTCGCCCGTTAAGCCGACGAAGATGTGCAAAGTGCAACCGTTCGCTTGTGTCCAAAATTTAGGCTTGACGCCAGGTATGGTGCATCAATTCAGGCTTGATCAACAGGTTGATTGCGCCCCTTGACGTTCGTTTGGGGTGTTCTGCAGACCTGATCACCCAGCCCTACTCAATGTATTCAAGTATATCTGGACAGGCACACTGTTTCCTGCTTCTCCTCGAGCTGACAGGCGGCGCCGCGGAGAGTCTGCGAGCCGACAGCCCGCAGTCTCATGTGCCGCGAGTCCGAGGGGATGCAGCGTGGCTTCCGGTGTGGGAGAAGGATGGGGAACAGCAGGGCAGGAGCAGAGTTAGGTCGGGCGTGTCCTCCTACAGGCGAATTTTGAACGAAAATCAGCAATAGTCCAAACATGCTCAAGAGTAGCCAAACATAATCAAACGCATCGTCTCCATATTATTTTGATTCTAGTTTCGGATACTCCCCCTGTGGAGGGACGTGCCCGACTTCAGAGCAGAGCGGTGGAGCGAGGTGCTCTGGCCGCCGGCGGACAGCCCGCTCGGCAGAACTTTCCGCGCCAGCGGCGCTGTACCGCGTGCGGTGGCACCCTCTGGAGGAGGAGGCCCGCTTTGTGTAAGCCTGCCTAGACCTCCTTCCGTACTCCTCTCGGGGACCTGGCGGGTCGCTCGCGGGTCTTCGCCGTCGTTGTCGTCGGCATCGCCGTGCTTGTCGTCGGCATCGGCGTCGTCGCTGGCGGCATCGTCCTGGTTGTCGTGCGCATCGCCGTCGTTGTCGGAGGTGGAGGTGTAGGAGGAGGAGGGGGAGGAGGAGGAGGAGGAGGAGGAGGAGGAGGAGGAGATTCCCGCGATATTCCCCTCTGCCGCAGGCAGTCAGGAGGAGGAGGAGGAGGAGGAGGAGGAGGAGGAGGAGGAGGAGGAGGAGGAGGAGGAGGAGGAGTGCGAAGACAGGATCTCTCGCCTTGAGTGCCGGCAGCCCTTCGCGATCCCGCCCATTCCAGCATGTTCTCTCCTCCCCATCCTGCAACCTCTTCGCGTTTCCCACCCTAGGCTACGTTGCGCAGCTGCTGCCGCCATCCAAGTTCGTGCTGCGTCGTGAATACGAGGCCGTCCTGTAGCTCCATGCAGACCATATTAACCTGATGGCTGTCTTGGCCGAGCTGGGGACACTGCATGCTGTCCCTCGTTCACCTGCTTGCCCTTGTCTGCAGGCCAAAACTTATTATGATCCCCGTCTGGTTGGCGATGCCTCGAGGTTGAGATGCTCTTCTCGAGGATCAAGAAGATCCGTGCCAGTGTGTCCTAGCAGAAGGCCTCCCTTACAGGTTTGATGATGACCATGCTAACTAGATTAATTCCCCAGTGCGTCCTCCCTTCCGTCCTCAAAACGATCGCGAACCAATGGAATTGTTCTGCTCGGTATTTCATTCCTACTACAGTTTGTTTGTGTTGTGGTCAGGGTATGGATGACATAATGGTACATTACTTACAATGTCCTCGCCTTTCATCAGCCGTGAAAGCCGCCCCCCTCCTCCCCGAAAATTTGGGCTCTGGGGACCCGTCCAGAATGTTCATGCTTGGAGCTTGGGATTCCTTGGAAATGCCTGCCCTGGTTAGTATAGCTCTTGGCCTTGATATCTTCAATTGCTTTGTGTATGCCCCCCTGTATCAGGTCATGTAATCTTGCAGGTCTTGTCAGAGCCAGATCGGGGGCAACTGCCCGTCGCAGTGGCCACGCACGCGCGACACTTCAAGGATGTTGGGACCCCCCCCCTGCTGACTGGGACTCCTCCTCCTCCTGCTCCTCCTCCTCCTCCTCCTCCTCCCCCGCCTCCTCCTCCTCCCCCTCCTCCTCCTCCTCTTCCTCCTCCTCCTCCTCCTCCTCCTCCTCCTCCTCCTCCTCCTCCCCATCCCTGGGCCTGGAGCGACCAGCTCGGCAGGGGGCGTGCGGGACCGCTCTGTGCCTGAGAGAGGGGGGGTGCCTCCCCGCCCGCGGCGGGCGCTCCGCGCGATGGCTGCGCCTGGCCTCTCCGCGGCACAGGCGCCAAGAGGAAGGAGGGAGAGAGATAGGGGGGGAGGAGGGGGAGGAGGAGGAGGAGGAGGAGGAGGAGGAGGAGGATGAGAAGGAACAAGAAGAACAATAAAAACAAGAAGAGGAGGGGGAGGAGGAGGAGGAGGAGGAGGAGGAGGAGGAGCAGGAGGAGTAATAGCAGGAGGAGGAGGAGGAGGAGGAGGAGGAGGAGGAGGAGGAGGTGGAGGAGGAGGAGGAGGAGGGGAGGGGGGACGCGGAGAGGGAAGATGGGAGGAGAAGGGGAGTCAGGGGGGGGGAGATGGAGGAGGCGCGTGCATGACAGTTCAAGAGGGGGTACGGTGAACTCGTCCCTCCCCTCCTTTCGCTTTCGTTTTCATGGCTCGGGCTGAGCTGATTCGACCCGGAAAAAGGGTTAGGAGGGGGAGATGGACCCAGATCGGCGGCGAAATCCGAACCCTACCCTGGCCGATCCACGATTCGGCCAACTCGATGGGCGGCGGGGGTAGAGCTCGGAATTCGCCGAACCCTACCTCCGCCCATCCCGTCAATTCATGGGCCCAGGCCCCCTCGTGCCGCGAAGGCATCCGGTGGAAGGTGTGTGTGTGTGTGTGTGCGTGTGTGTGTGTGTGTGTGTGTGTGTGTGACCGTGTTTGACCTCTGGGGGGGCCCTCGCTGGGCCCTGGGGCCGACAAAGGAAACGACTCGGGCTGGAAAGCGGGCCCCAGGAAAGATGTCGAAACCTTGGGTGTCCGCGCTTAAAGAAAATCACTGCGTCGGCGACCGGCGACCTGGGGAGGAGAGGAGAGGAGGGGAAGAAGGATGGAGGAGAGGACTACGGGGGTGGAGGAATGAAGTAAGGGATGCGAACTGAGAAGGGATCCTGGGTGAGTTTCAGGGGGATGAGGGGGAAGGTGGCGTAGTGGGACGAGAAGGAATGATCAGGCAAAGGAGGAGGACGAGGAGGAAGGAGGGAACGAGCAGGAATGAGTGGGGAGGAAGGACGGAGGGACAGAGTGAGGATAAATCGAGGGGTGTAGGAGTGCACTCATTTTCATGGAGGGATGGAAATATCCAGCTGCCTGCGGCAAGTCACGCCACCTTGCCATCACAATACTTTGGGTGGCGACTGCTCGGGGGGCGCACTGAAGGCAGACACGGTCGACACCTCGTGCCCCTGGGCCTGGGAGAGCCGGAGCGTGTGTCACACGCCTCTGCGTCGTCTCGGGGGTTATCTCGTGTCGTCTTCGCCATGCTCCTCCCGTTCCTTCTGTCCGTTCCTGGGCTCCTCTGGGCAGCCCTTAGGGGAACGAAAAATGGCATGAACATAACAACTCGGAGGTCCGCGCGGATTTCTTGGATCCGCGCTGGATCCCGCTGCCTGGCGCGCGGAGCGCGCCAGGGGCCCGGAGGCGCCGCTAGGGGGCTCCAGCGCGGATCCAAGAAATCCGCGCGGACCTCCGAATTTGTATGTTTATGTCATTTTTCGTTCCCCTAGTCTTGCGGGCCCCTTTTGGGCCGTACTGGGGCCCTCTTGGGCCGGCTTGGGGGGCTCTCTCTTGGGCCGTCGGGGCCCGTCCTCTGCCATCCGGGGAGCCTCCCTGCTCCGTCGTATAGGACCGCCTTCGGGCTGTCCAAAGCGGGCTCTCTCCGAGCTCCTCGCGGGCCCCTTCCCGGAGGAACTCTCGGGGCCGGGCTTAGAAGGCTCTCTCTTGGGGCCGCTCTGGGCCGTCTCGGGGCCTTCTTGGCTGGTCTGGCCGCATTGGGGGAGTTCTGGTGCTGTCTGGCTTCTTCGGGCCCTACTACTGGGGCCATCTTTGGCTCTCTCGGGCCGCCTTGGGGGCCTCTTGGGTCGTCTAGGACGCATCCTGGGCCGCCCGTCTGGGGTATTGGGCCATCGTGGTGGCGTTGGCTGCCTGCCTCCGCCCCATCTGGCTGGGTCCTCGTATGGAAGAGCGCTGCTTGCTCCGAGTTCCTTCTATCCTCCCGCCTGCCTCCCCTTGCCTTGGGCCTCCCATTGCTCTCTTCCGCGCATCCAGACTCGACCTCGCGGCTCCCTGGGAGGCTGCCACCTGCGCAACTGTCGTCCCAGCTGGCGGTGTGACGTGACACTGCTCTTGGGTCGATGCTTCGGCCTGGGCGGTACGGCGCTGCATAGTGCGGCATCGGCCCCCTCTCGATTGGGGTTGCGAATCTGCTCCGCGATCTCGTCTTCGCGTGGCTCGTGATGCGAACGGCACGCGCGCGAATTTTACATGGCCAACACCGAAGTAGCCAGATGCTTGCCAGGAGAGAAACCCGTCACGTCAGCAGGCTTTTGGGAGGCTCAGCGGAGTGGTATGCAACCAGCACCCAGACCAGACCTCACGTCTCCCCTGGGGTGCTGTCGCCAGCGCAACCTGTCGCCGCGTTCGCGGAGCCCTGAGGGGTCCAGCGGAGTGACGTCGTACGCAAGCCCAGGCTAGACCTCGCGGTTCCCTGGGGGGCTGCCTCCTACGGAAGTGTCGCCGCTGTCGCGCGCTGCTGGGAGGGCCAGCGGAGTGGAGTCCTACGCCAACCTACACGGCACCTCGCGGCTCTTCGGGGGTCTGCCAACCGTGCAGGTGTCGCCACTTTCGCGGGCTTTTGGAAGGTCCAGCGGGGTGGTGTCCTACGCTCACCCCAATTGTTGACGTTTCGCGAATCCTCACCAGACATGGTTCGGCGCACATGTATTCGAGCACTTCAGATGCTTTGTGAGTGAGGCTTCCGTCCTTTCCCCTCCCCTCGTCGCCTTCTGCGCCTGTCCTTCTGTCCTCCTCGCCGCGTTTGGCGGTGCCTTTCCTCGGGCTCTGTGCTGCCCGCACTGCGTTCCCGCCTTCTCGCAGGCTTGGTCTGTGGGGGCTGGCGCCACTGTGCGACCCTACGCCGGCTTTTCCAGTCTGCTGCCGTCTTCCGTTCTTGGGTCGGCTCTAATGAGGTTCATTTTGTCCCTCGCACGTGCATTGCGGCGTTGGCCTATGTGCCTTCGTTGCCAATCGTCTCGCTTTGCGCCCCTGTCGAGATTGACCCGCTCTCTGGAACCGTCCTTGGAGCCGCAGATCAAAAAAAAAATCCCCACCAGATGTCTCCCCCACGACTGGCGCAATCCTGGGACAGGATGCACAGCATGACGACACCCCCAGGCTGGTTCGCGAGGCTCCCGGCAACGAGGGGACAAAGGTCGCGCCCCAGACCCAAGCCACAACGGTGGAGCAGGACAACGCCGGGCAGGCCTGCAAGGCAGAGACTGAGCCGCGGGAGCCCAAGAGCCCAGTGTCGCCAGACTGGGGCGAGGACTCAGGGACCGCCGCCGCAGCGGCTAAGGATAGAAGCCCGAGCGGGAGCCCCGAACCCGCGGCCGCGGAGGCCGATGACGACGACCCCCTCGGTGCATTCGCAGTGGCACCCTCCAGCTGCTCCCCATGGTCGCCCTACCCGCAGACCGTCGACAAGAACGCAGCCAGGGAACTCCAGAGGGCCAAGGACGACGCCGCACCGGCCAGCGCATCCTCCTGGGACCGAGTGGGGAGCCAGAGAAGATCGCGAACCCATCCCACCTCCCTGGCACCAAGGGCGCGACCGCCCAGTCTGCGAAGACACTGGGGACGGGAAAGGGCGCGCCGCGAAGTCGCCAAGGTGGAACCCAGTGCGACTGGAGCCGAGCAGGGAACCCTGGAAGGGCACCAGCGCCGACCGACGAATGCACGGAGACCTCCACGACCCCCTGGGCGGCGGTCCCATGCACAAGTGCTCCCTGGCAGTCGCGAGCCTTGACGAAAGAGGAAGCCATGCAGGTCAAGATCGCGCGCCTGCAAAAGACGTGAGGGGGCGCCTTCAACGCTATACGGCATGCGTGGTCCAAGCGCGCGGCATTGGACCAGGACGCCAAGGGAGGTTACAAGAGCAACCCCTTACTCAACACGCCCGAGACTTGCTCGGACTTCATGGACGCCTGGGGTCTAGCTGGCTACGACGCGTACCGGATGGACCGTGAACAGAGGCTCGGAGTAGACTGGGACGACATTCGCCGCAAGCACATGAAGTTCTCCGAGCGCTGCGGCGCCCTTGCACAGGCCCCCAGGGCCTCTGGCAGTCGTGACACGCCAGCCCCCTGGTCAGCAGATACCCGCAGGGACGGGCGAGCCGCGGCACAGGCCCCCTGGGCAGCCAGCAGTCCATCGGGAGCCTCCGACCAATGGCGAGGCTGGCAGGGCTGGTCCTCATGGGGACATCGTGACACGCCATGGACAGACTCCGAATGGAAA